CACTTATATATTTTTTTCCATCATAAATGCAGCAATGCAGGGAGACTATCACGAGCCAAGGTCATCTAAATGTAGGTCAATCCATGTTCGAGGATACCCTACTAATACGTGACTGTCATTCCAAATCTCACACACGCGGTTCAGACTCATTACAAGATTATAATGTGTTTAGTGCAAATAATCACATGACACATATACTCAGTACTCCACATTAAACCAGACTAAGCAATGGAAATAGCAGTATAACTCAGATAATTGCTCACTTGGTTTTACATAACAGGTTTAAACTCAAAGTGATGTGTCGTTTGCCCAACTAGAAACTATTTTTGTATTTTTCTCATTTTTCAAAATTTTTTTAATAATACTTAAGGCAAATAAATGCAAAAATAGTAAAAAATAAAAAAACATAAAAATAAATAAGATGCATGCATGAATGAATGGACACAATGAACAGCACATGCATGCACCTAATCACATAATCAGGGTAAAATTTGAATGCCCTTGCCATTAAGAGCACAACCATTTTCACGACCTTCGAGATTGCTTCTCTTGACCCAAACTTTCTTAGTAGCAGAAGATGATTGAGTTAACCGAATCATCATCTCAGTTAAGTGGCTGACTTGATTGGCAAGAAAATCAACCTTACTGGTGAAATCCAGATTCTTACTTCCAGTCACTCGATTACGACACCTAGGTCTGGTGTGTTCCAGAGAACCACAGTGGTGGCACGTGGGAATGAATTGTGGTTCAAACCTACTTGGTGGAGGTTGCCGAAGAGTAGGACGATTGACCCTACGCTGTGCGGTAGGTCTTGATCCTGTGGCATGCTTACCTTTGGGTTTTGGATAAGCAATCTCACGAGCTTTGTTCATTGCAGGAAGAAACATGGTCTTAGATGTACTTGCAGTAGCATTACGATTATGAACATAACCTAGACCATGTCTGTCACCCTCAGGCTTGTTCATCCCAAGCAGAGTATCCAACTTCTACGAACCACTCATAAACGATTGCAGTTGAGCATTAAATTTATCAAGATCAGCAGTAAATGATTTATCTTTAATTTCCCATTTTTCATTAACCAGCTTCAACTCACTCAATTTTCTAATCGAGTTCTGAAGATCACTTAACAGTTTTTCACATCAAAGTTCAAGCTCGTTCACCTTTTTCAAGACGGCTTTATTGACCTTCTTAATTTTGAGACTCTCCTCAAACAATTCACGATAAGACTCGTGAATGTCAGTATCTTCATCAGACTTTTCTTCAGACTGTTCACTCGTATTTTCTCTTTCAACATTTTCAATCTCACAATCAGATTCGATTGTAGCAATCGAGGTGAAGGCCATGAATTTTCGATCATCCTCACCACCGGTATCTCATTCTGAAAACTAGACTCTGACTCCTCATCACTCATGGTCACAGCTAAGGCCTTACGATGTTCTATACCCGAACTCCTCTTCAAATTTGGACATTCACTTCTAATGTGACCATACCCCTTACACTCATGGCATTGGACAGATTGNAATCCTTACAACGTTCTAAACTTAAACTCCTCTTCATAGTAGGACATTCACTCCTAATGTTATCATACTCCTTACTCTCATGGCATTGGACAGATTGAGATTTCTTAACGAGAGTCCTAGAGGTGTTATTCTCATGCTTACCTTTCATGAATCTACTAGGGACTTCACTATTTCGCTCCTGGGGCTTTCTCCTAATCTTCATCACGTTTTGAAATTTTTTAACGAAATAACCAATTTCGTCGTCCCTAAGTGTTTCAGTGTCATTGAACTCGCTCTCAGCTTCTCTAACAGTGTTCATGTCGATGGACTTCTGATCTTTGGCTGTGCTAAGGTCAATTCATAAGTTTGGAGGGATCCTACGAGTTCTTTTACTTTAATGTTGTCTAGGTCCTTACTTTCTTCAATGGCAGTTACATTAGGTCTAAACCTTTCAGGTAGGGATTTAAGAACCTTACGAACGATTTTCAACTTAGGGATCTTTTCACCTAGATTAAAACTAGAGTTCACAATATCATTCAACTTAGCATATAACTCATCAAATCTTTCATCATCATTCATCCTAAGTTCTTCAGATCTAGACATCAACATCTGCAGTTTAGAGTTCTTAACAATTTTAGTTCCCTCGTGTGTGGTTTCTAAAATATCTCAAACTTCCTTAGTAGTTTCACACATCGATACACGCCTAAACTCTTCAGCATAAACAGCCATGAACAGGGCATGAATGCCCTTAGTGTTCTAGTTACACTCAGCTAGATCATCTTGAGTCCAAAGAGAGCTATNGCCCTTACTGTTCCAATTACACTAATCCAAATTCATTTTTGACCACAGTAAAATATCAGTGGATGTGACTAACTAGCAACAATTGTTGAAGGTGGAGCCCACCCATTTTGAACGGTAGTCCAAACACGTTCATCCATATATTTAAGAAAGGCTCTCATTCAAACCTTCCAATAGGCAAAGTTGCTTCCGTCGAAGTACGGTGGCACAAATAATGACTGACTCATCTAGACTTAACAAATAAGGTTCAAGAATCGATGTAAATCTCTGATACCAATTGAAAAACGCAAGTTCAACCCTAACAACACCTAGAGGCTGGTGAATAGGTGTAATATGCGGAATTCAAATCTTATTAACTAATTAGCAACAAGTTACTAATTAATTATCTCTAGATAGTTAATCGTGCAGTCAATTTAATCCTAAGTTTAAATACCACAGATCATTTATTCGTAATATAAAGTAGTAAATCAAACACCAGAATGATCACGGAGAAACCCAATTGGGAAAAATTTCGGGCACTTTGTCGTCAATCTACTATAAATGAATTTAACAACTTACAGTCTACCAGACTAGATGACCCGTATTATCTGATCATCCGATTGCACTCCTTACAGTTCTCCTTGGAACTCGTGCTCTCCTGCACCAATCCTTAGCTATTGTTGACGAAGCTCTCCGTGGAATCTGCTACCTTACAGTACTCCAAACCTTTTGAATTCGTTTATCTCCCATGGATCACGAAGAACGACCCGTTCTTCACAGACTGGAACTCCAGTCGCCTTCCTCGATCTTTAGTACCTCTGATAGATATGTAGGAAGTTTGGTTTCT